TTCAGCTAGATCAGCACCAACATAGTCTCGTACCTCTGAACTCTTTTCTGAGAAACACAAGCAAGTTTCTGCAAAGCCTCTTAGGTACCTCAAGGTCCACTTCACTGCTTCTCAATATTCATTTCCTGAATTACTCATGTATCTGCTAACAACTCCCACTCCGGTCTAGTGCAAACCATAGCATACATAAGTGAACCAATAATTGAAGCATAAAGAACCTTACTCATGTGGTTTTGTTCCTCCTCTGACTTGGGTGACTGATTCTTGCTGAGTCTGAAGTGACTTCCCAAGGGTGTGCCAACTGATTTGGCTTTATCCATGTTGAACCTGCAAAGTACCTTTTTCACATACTCAGCCTGAGAGAGTCTCAACATGACTCTGACTTTATCTCTAACAATTCTCATACCAAGAATTTGTTTTGTCACTCTCAAATCCTTCATTGCAAAGTGTTTTGACATCTGCTCTTTCAAATTATTGATCTCTTCAATACTAGCACCTCCAATAAGCATATCATCCACATACAGCAGTAGGAAGATATAGGAATTGTTAAAATATTTGATATAACAACAGTGATCTGCCCGATATCTGTTGTATCATGCACTGTGCATGAAATTATCAAATTTCTTATACCACTGTCTAGGAGCTTGCTTCAGGCCATATAAGCTCTTCTTCAATCTGTAAACTGACTCTTTATTTCCTTGTACCAAGAACTCTTCAGGTTGGTGCATGTGGATGCCTTCTTCAAGATCTCCATGAAAAAATGTTGTTTTCACATCTAACTGCTCAAGGAAGAGATCATCAGTAGCCACCATAGACAATACCATTCTGATGGTTGTAAGCTTCACCACAAGAGAGAAAATCTCGGAATAATCAATACTGTGCTTATACTGAAAACATTTTATAACAAGTCTAGTCTTGTACCTCTTACTGTCATCATGCTCAGTCTTCACCTGCTACACCTACTTGCTGTGTAATGTCTTCTTCCCTGTTGAAAGATCTGTTAACTCCCAAGTTTGATTTTCTAGCAAAGAATCCATCTCATTCATGGTTAGTTCTCACTTGCTCGAATTTTCATCTTGCAAGGTTTATTCATAACTCTGAGGTTCTTCACCATTTGTCAGCAGAATGTAGTTCAAAGTTGGAGAATAATGACGTGGAGAACGTCTAGCCCTTTCTGATAAGAGAGAAAATCTCGGAATAATCAATACCGTGCTTATACTGAAAACATTTTATAACAAGTCTAGCCTTGTACCTCTTACTGTCATCATGCTCAGTCTTCACCTGCTACACCTACTTGCTGTGTAATGTCTTCTTCCCTGTTGAAAGATCTGTTAACTCCCAAGTTTGATTTTCTAGCAAAGAATCCATCTCATTCATGGTTAGTTCTCACTTGCTCGAATTTTCATCTTGCAAGGTTTATTCATAACTCTGAGGTTCTTCACCATTTGTCAGCAGAATGTAGTTCAAAGTTGGAGAATAATGACGTGGAGAACGTCTAGCCCTTTCTGATCTGCGAACTACAACTGTAGGGGTAGACTGCTCTGAAACTAACTGTGGAACAATAGAAGTGGATGCCCCGGATCTACTCTCCTCATCACATGCATCTTTGTCTTGCACTATGACCTCTGGTAAATCATCAAATCTTACCAACTCAGATTCCTTCAGTGCTCTTTCAAAAGTTGTATTGGACTTGTCTTCTAACATTCTTATTGAAAATCACGTTCCTTCTCCTTATGATCTTCCGACCCTGATCATCCCAGAAACGATTTTCAAATGCCTCATCTCCATAGCCAATAAAATAACACTTCTTTGACTTAGCCTCAAGCTTACTTCAAGCATCAGGATTAATGAAAATATAAGAACAACAACCAAAAGTCTTAAGGTGAGAAAATTTTACCTCTTTCCCACTCCAGACTTCTTTAAGTAATTCACAGTTTAATGGAACAGATGACTCTCTAATGATCAAATAAACTGCAGTGCTAACCACTTCTACCTAAAAAGTAGATGGTAGTCTGACGTGCAATCTCATGTTTCTAGCCCACTCATTAATAGTCATGTTCATGCGTTCTGCAACACCATTTTGTTGTGGTGTCCCTAGAGTGGTCTTCTCCATTTTGATGCCCTGAGCTATACAGTACTCTTTGAACCCACCATCAATGTACTCACCACCATTATCAGACCTCAGACATTTCAGCCTTAAGTTTGTCTTTGTCTTAACCATGGTCTTCCAAGTCTTGAACACACTGAATACATTAGATTTATACTTCAAGAAATAAACTCATATATTTCTGCTATGAACATCAATGAATGTGATGTAGTAACGAGAGCCTCCAAGAGATGCCTCTGGAGAATTTCCTCACACATCAGTGTGTACTAGATCCAATTTTCCTGCCTTTGGCATCCTGTCACCTTTCAAGAAACTGATATTTCTCTGTTTCCCCATAATGCAACTCTCACACATGCTGAAATCAACTGACTTCAGTTCTGAAAGTTTGCCACTGGACTGAAGTTCCTTCATACTTCTCTAACTCATGTGGTCAAGTCTGCAATGTCATAACTCTGTTGTGCTGTTTGTCACAACTCTGTTGTGTTGTTTGCAACAGCAGTATCAACACTGTTAATTAAACCAGTAGTCATATATAGCGTACATGTTTTTTTACCCCGAGCCAGTATCATAGCTCCTTTAGTAACCTTCAGGTGCTATCTGAGAACAATACTGAATGTCCACACTCATCAAGCTGTCCAGCAGAAATGAGATTCTTCTTCAGTTCAGGAATATGTCTGGCCTTTTGCAGAGTCCATTTGTTCTTATTTGGAAGAGCAATGTTAATATCTCTCATTCCTACCACGTTCAGAGTTTCTCCATCTGTTAAATATACTTTCACAAAGTCACCTGCAACATAATTCCGCATCAATTCCCGAGAGAGTTTTATGAAAAGAAATTATTGAATCCAGTATCCAGTCATCAACAGAACTATGAACTGTCAGCAGTAGCGCATCCTGTGATTCTTCAGTTACCACATTTGCACTATCATTTTCCTTATTCTTAGGATTCCTGTAGCTCCTATTTATGTTGTCAGTTTTGCCACAATTCCAGCAAGTTGCTTGTTTACCAGACCTTGACTTGCTCCTGCTTCTATTCTTTGATTTTGATCTTCCCCTGTTTGAGTTCATGTCATGTGATCTTCCTCTGGAATCAACATTTAATGTTGAACTCGAACTTGAGATCTCGCCAAAATCTTCTCTGCGCACCTCCTCAGCTAAAATCAAATCACAAATATCTTCAAATTTCAGTTTAAATTTACCTACAGAATTACTGACAACCATCACATCATCATAGCTTCCCAACTATTTGGCAATGAAGCCAGCAAGATCAGTGCACGTATCTCATCATCAAATTCAATTTCCACAAACGATAATTAATTTGTGATAGTATTGAAATCATTCAGATGTTGTACAAAAAACGTGTCTTCGGCCATCTTCAAATTTAATAACTTCTTTATCAGATATATCTTGTTATTCGTCGATGGCTTTTCATACATACCTAACAGGGTTGTCATAAGATCTGCAGTCGTCCTCTCCTTTACGACGTTATGTGCAACGGACCTTGATAGGGTCAATCGAATAACCTCCAGAACCTGTCAATCCAACACATTCCATTCAGCTTCATCCATTTTTTCAGGTATTTTCCCCAATAACGGAAGATGAAGTTTCATCCCATAGAGGTAATCATCTATCTGCATCCTCCAGTAACAAAAATCTGTGTCATCGAACTTCTCGATCCCTGAAACTTTTACTTCATCTGCAGTCATTAGTTTTGATACCAGTTATTGTGATATATTAAAATAAAATAGAACGATCGACGACAAAGTGAAAAATAGAACAAGAAAATTCACATAAAAAACACACAAATTTACGTGGTTCGACAAATTGCCTACATCCACGGAGTTGCAAAAGATTTTACTAATTGAGGAATTTACACCAGTGAATCGTCTCCAATTACAAGAGTGAACTCTTTCTCTCACTTCTTCACTCTTCTCTCTCTAAACTGAGATACACTGAAGAAGAAAAAAAACGTACAAGGGAAAAACTTATTTCTCTTTTGCCGCAAGCCAACAAGAAGAAATCAAGAAGAGCACATTCTTCTTCCACTATCTTCTTCTTCCTTCTGCCAAGCACGAGAAGAATCTTTCATGAACTGAACGAAGCATGGGCGGAGATGGGAGAGGTGTTCCTGTTTCACGAGAGATAGATCGTCGGGAGGGAAGCATTCTGGTTTTGAACACGAGAGAGGCGAAGACGGGAGGAAGTAACCTACTTCACGAGAGACAGAGAGACGGGGATGGGAACCAATTCGCGAAAACGGGAAGGGCCAGGCAGAAAGGCGGAATAGAGCATTTTAGGCGGAAGCAATTATAGCAATATATATTTTTTTCATTTTACTTAACCGGACTCCACACAAGACACAAAACTCCATACATGAAAATGATTTTTCGATTCATCATAGTGAATTTTATGAGGAATTTTTTTCTAGAATTTTTATCCGAAGTTGGACTGGAAAATGTTTAGAACATGCACCATGTTACCGTTTATTCTATTGTTCTTATGTTTATTCTAATGAAGTTTTAGTCCATTCTTCCACTGCTCATTGTTCCGCATCTACCATGAGTTTTTTACTTCCTAAGAATATCATTAGAAATTCAATGAAAAATAGTTTCCCCCATTTGACTAGAGCTTGTTTACTAGGGATTTAAGTAACAGGAAATGAAAAGGAGTCGAATTAAAAATAAACCTACAAATTGATTGAATTTAAATTTAGTTCCTTCTCATTCCTTCAATACAAACAAAGCCTTGTGCTGTTAGAAAAAAAAGTTAGAACTGATTATTATCAAATCAAGATAATGAAAAAAAAATCAGTTCAATAACAGTTGATGAAAAAAAAAAAGAGTACATGCATAAATTTCCTTCCAAATTCTATGTGGATTAGCATAGGTGCGTACCTTTAATAAGGTCTGTTGCCATATCTTGAAAGTCACTATCGTTAACAAGACCTTGAACTCCACCGCCAGCAAGGAGTACTGAAATAAAACAGGAGAACTCTAAATTCTTTGAAACGTAGAACTATCCTACATCCAGCTTCTGCCAGGAGACTTAGTCGCTCCTCTAACCCTCATCAGCTTCCTTATCTCCTCTCCAAGCTCCACCCTCCCAGCATCATCATACATGCCAGCAAGCAGCACGTAAACTGCAGAATCTGAAGGGTCCAGCTCCATTGCTCTGCTCGCTGCCCACTCCCCCATTGCAACATTCCCATGGAGCTTGCAGCATCCCAGCAGAGTCTTGTATATCAAAGCCCCAGGTTGATGTGGCATGGTCTCTATTGCTTCCATCGCCGCCTCCAGCCTCCCTGCTCTTCCAAGCATATCTACAAAACAAACATAATGATCCTTATCTGGAACCAATTCAAACTGTTCTTTCATTGAGCTGAAGTAGTCCATTCCGAGATCTACAAGCCCACCATGGCTACAGGCATAAAGGGCAACCAAAAAGGTGATAGAATCTGGAAGGACTCCAGCTATCCTCATGTCTTCAAATGTTGACAAAGCTTCAGCAAAAAAACCATTGGAAGCTAGCCCTGAGATCAAGCCATTCCATGACACGACGTTTGGTTGCTGAATTGAAGCAAAAATGGCACGGGCCTCAGCGATGCAACCACACTTGCCATACATGTCCACAAGTCCATTCATGACTGAGATAGATGCCTTGAGACCAGATTTGAGGGAAAAACAGTGCAGCTGTGTGCCACACTTAGCTGTAGCTAGACCTGCAGCAGCGGAGAGAAAAGAAGCTAGGCTGAAGCTATCAATGCGCGTGAGCTCGGCTCTCATGGGGCCAATCAGTGAGAGAACTAGCCCGTGTAGCCCTGCCTGATTAAAACCTTTGGCCAGACTTGTGTAGGTGTAGACATCCCTATTCTGCACATCATCAAATACTTTCCTGGCATCAATCATCCAGCCCAGATTAGCATAGGCATCAACAAGGGAGTTACCAACAGTGATATCCCAAGTGCTCAAGTTAGTCTTTAGCACAATAGCATGGAGCTTCTGTGCATGAGCTGCACCCTCTCTTGAGCTCAAATCTGTGAGGATAGTGGACAAGGTGAAGGAGTTAGGCTTCACCCCAGCCACTTGCATCTCTGCAAGTACCACCATTGCAGCGCTATCTTCTCCTTGTCGAACAAGCCCAGAAATATGAGCCGTCCAGGACACAACGTTTGGAGATGAGATCTCCTCGAATGCCCTCACCGCATCTTCTACCTGAGGAGAACATTTTGAATAAAGATCAACAATGGCATTGCCAACCGAAACATCATGCTCAAGCCCGACCTTAACAACTACACAATGGAACACTTTTCCCAGCTCAGGCAATGCAGATAAGGAAGATGCATTAAGGAGAGTGGTGTAGGTAAATGAGTTGGGAGGAAAATATGCTGCAGTCTGCATCTTTCGGAAGGATGACACAGCCTCCTTATAATCCCCTGCTTGAGCATAACCTGAAATAATTGTAGTCCACAGCATTACATCGGAGTCGGAGGTCAGGTGAAGGGAGTTCATGGCACTGGTCATGTTCTTGCATTTACAATACATGTTGACAAGTGCAGTTTTCACTGCTAGGTTGAGCTGGATGCCGAGAAGGATCATGTGAGCATGGATTAGTTTGCCAAGGTGAGACTCGAGTTTGCAACAAGCTGTAAGGAGCATGGTGAAAGTGAACTCATTGGGAAAGACACCATCTTTGAGCATGGAGATGTAGAGACAAAGAGCCTTCTTCCAATCTTCAGCCTGCACCAGTACACTAATCATTGCCGTCCACGAGACGGTATCTCTATCATTCATAAGTTGAAATACCACGAGAGCTTCGTCAAACATACCACACTTGGAGTAGAAATCAAGAAGACCGCTCTCAAGAACAAAATTTGACCCGAATCCACGTTTAAGAATTAGGGCATGATGGCTAGTTCCTAGATCGAAATCCCTAACAGAAGCTGCACATCGCATGACGGTGGATAACGTGAAATGGTTGGGGACTAAATCAGCAAACAGCATTTGCTGGTAAAGATACAGTGCTTCCTCGTCATTGCCATTCTGAACGAAAGCTGATATGACTGCCGTCCAGGAGACAATGTCCCTATAAGGCATTTCCCCGAACAGATTGCGGGCAATGTCTGCATGACCATGTTTTGAGTAGAGAGATAGAAGGTTATTACAGATGAGAAGATGGCTGTCAAAACCTAGCTTGATGATGGCGGAATGAGCACAAAAAGCTTTATTGGAGAACGGGATAGATTTGCAGCACGAGAGGAAATGTAGGCATGATTCCTCTGAGGAGAGGAAAACTGCGCTGGAGCCATGGATCAATGGTGAAATTCTAGAGCTTTGATCGACGTTGATAAAATCCACGGCCGTTAAGTGAGAGAGAAGACGCAGCCACTGCCAGATAACTGTGCAGGACCGGAGATGGGATTCCGCAATGAAGCTAAATGGCGGGAGGTTTTTCTTCGTACAGCGAGGCAGTAAGAGCATGCTCGTGCAACGGTAGATACGCACGTGTTTCAGAGTAATTTCAGCCGAATGGGGTGGGCGAGCTCAGCCCAGCCCTAAATCTGGTCCCAATTTAATGATAAGACCTCACGTGTTAATTAGGTCCACCGTAATATACTGAAGGCAGGACTCACTTAAGTCGTGGCACCCCAATATTTAATTTTGGATGTATTCGGAGTCCTGACCAAATATTTTTTCCATGAGAAAAAACTTGCAGGCTACCTGCATAACAAAATTTGATGTTCTGCAAAAAAAAAAACTCATGGTTCATGAGCATAGATCATATTCTGCTCTTTAGATAGTTCATATTCATTTCTAAAGAGATATTCGAGATTATTTTTTGCTTTCTAGTTTTTATTTTAAAAATAGAGATTAAAGTAGGTCTGTCAGTTTTATAAAGCCGAACACGAGCATATTTCAAACTTATTTTGAACATAATAAGCCAAAAACAAACAACTTATTCATGAGCTATATTTTAAAACCCGAACTTTTTTTAAGAAAAAAAAAAAAAATCAAACAAGTCGAACATGAATAAACCGTGGGCTTGCTCAAACTCAACTCGTTCACATCCCTATTCAAAACAGTTTAAGTAAATTTTAAGTTAACATTTGATTTTATGTTGGTTGAATGAAAAAAATTAGGACGCTAGAGGCTTTAATAGTTGACATATATATATATATATGATATTTAACTAATCCTTATGAAATAAAAATGATATTCACCCTACTAGAATTAGAACTACTAAGATTTGTAATTTGGTACTACTTAAAATATCTTAGAATATATATTTATCATGTGGTGGAGCTTAAATTAAGAGAAAGAAAGTGGAAGGCCATGCAACATACGCCAACAGGGCATTTCCATGAAGATTCCTACAGCCAAGACAAGCCTTTCTGCTGGTTGAGCATAACTCAAGCTTGGCCAAGTTTGTCTTCCAGTATTTGGGAGCCACACTCACATGCACATGAGCATAGACTTCGTAGCATATGAGGGAATAGATCGAACATATTCAGCTGTAGAGAAAATGTAGTTAAATTTAAGTATAAGATCAGATCCAGAAAGTCCATCTGCTGAGACTGGATAGGTCCTATTATTTGGGTTGATGGAAAATGCATCGGTGACTTTAGATTCATTCCTTTTGGCAAAATCTGTTTTATTTTGGATCAATTTATCTTTAAAAATGTCATACATCGGGTCTAGAATGTGGTACACCACGGAAACACAAAATATGATGGAAAGAATTGAACATGTTTTGTATTCTTAAAAGGAAAGATGTATGCAAGTAATAACAAACAGAAATGAGAAAAAATTAATTTTATTTTATAAATAAGTATCCAACCGGTACAACTGAAAGAAAATGAGTTAGTTGGAAGAAATTAAATGTAAAATTCGGGAACAACTATCTAAAGCCAAAAAGAAAGATATAATGACTAATACGAAACAAAAAATACAAAAAATAAATCTAAAGCTGAAAAGTCTCCTTCAATGGGGAGGGTATGATAAGTGGAAGGCCATGCAACATACGCCAACAGGGCATTTTCATGAAGATTTCTACAGCCAAGTCAAGCCTTTCTGCTGGTTGAGCATAAACTCAAGCTTGGCCAAGTTTGTTTTCCAGTATTTGGGAGCCACACTCACATGCACATGAGCATAGACTTCGTAGCATATGAGCGAATAGATGGAACATATTCAGCTGTAGAGAAAATGTAGCTAAATTTAAGTATAAGATCAGATCCAGAAATTCCATCTGCGGAGACTGGATAGGTCTGGATAGGTCCTATTCTTTGGGTTGATGGAAAATGCATCGGTGACTTTAGATTCATTCCTTTTGGCAAAGTCTGCTTTATTTCGGATCAATTTATCTTTAAAAATGTCATACATCGGGTCTGGAATGCAGTACACCACGGAAACACAAAATATGATGGAAAGAATTGAACATGTTTTGTATTCTTAAAAGGAAAGATGTATGCAAGTAATAACAAACAGAAATGAGAAAAAAATAATTTATTTTATAAATAAGTATTCAACCGATACAACTGAAAGAAAATGAGTTAGTTGGAAGAAATTAATGTAAAATTCGGGAACAATTATCTAGAGCCAAAAAGAAAGATATAATGACTAATACGAAACAAAAAATAAATCTAAAGCTGAAAAGTCTCCTTCAAAGGGGAGGGTCTGATAAAAGGCAGGGTGAAACTTGTTATATAAATATATCAAGGAATGAGTTTTAAAATCATGCGCCATAAATAACAATTATTTATTAAAGCATAAACGATAAGAAAATTGTGCAAGCAAAATGATCAATAAATAGAGACGATTTACTATGTGTACAACAGAATTTCCAAAGACTGTCACATGCTTATAATCATGAATAAAACCGACTTGAACCCGTGCACTTTTTACATGTTACAACATTTGATGTTTTTCTATAGATAGACACATCAATCATTTAACACCTTTTGATAATACATAATTTTAGTTTATAAATAAATACACATGTATAATTATATTTACATATAGTCAATTTAGTACAACACCCCAAATCAATAAAAGGTAAGCACCAATCCCATAGAAATTCATTGATTTCTCTGAAAGACCTCAAATCGGTCCGGCTAGCCATAACATAAGGGTTTAATACCGATATAATAATATTATGATATTAATCATATTTCATGCATCACTATCAAAACACAAGAATATAATTATAAAATATTCACTGATATTTATTAACAATTATGAAAACTGAAATAATGAGATTTACCGCATCAAAAATATCAACAAAAAAAAACTAAATATTGAATCATGAAAAGCAAACAACTAAAGATGAGGCCAAGTAGGAATAAAACAAGGCTAATCAACAATTAAACTTGTTATGATCAAAAATAGAATCAACTACAATTATGTGAACAAGATTTGAAATGTATAAATCACAACCTTGCAATTTGCTAAGGTTCTAATACAATTAGCAAGGATAATATTCATAAGTACAAAGAGTACATATATCCCATAATAAACAACAGTTACTCATCTCGAGTTGGAAAACATGATACCTCTATGAATTTGACGAATCAACTATCAATCCTACAACAATTAGAAAATAAGATTAATTATGTCATTAAGTTTTATCATTGCTTAAGTACAACCTAATTGATGTTCGTTATTATGATTATCCTTTTAAAATATAATAATAATGATAAATAATAGTAATAATAATCATAATAACGAACATCAATTAGGTTATACTTAAAATAATAATATTCTCTTATTTGACCTTGTTATGGAGGAGAAAATTTAATTTTTGAACAAGTTTTATTAGGAAAAATTAATAACAAAAAAGAGAACATCTTTTACTTCTTAAATCCTGTTTTTCCTCTCTTAGCCTAAAATCCCTGTTGGAAGATGAATTAATATCATTACATGATAGTTTTTAATTTTTAAGAAATGATATTTTTTTGGAAAAGTCAGACCTTTGTCAAAATGTTCCCACCGCATCTAGATAGGTGCAGTGTGAAAACGCTGTTTTCGGTGTTTTGAAAACGCATAAGCTGGCAAAACGTAGTTTACCCAAACAGGTCAGGTGCGTTTTCAAAACGCCACCACACCAAATAAGATGCCCCAAACGGACCCTTAATATTAATTTCTAAGAAATGATAATGTAAATTAATATCATTACACGATATTTTTTTTAATTTTAAAAGACTGCATGAAGTCACTTTGATCTCTCATTAATCTTATTTGCAAATAAATTTGGCTTTGTTTTGTTTACCAATCATGCATAATTTAGTTTAGATGTATGTTATTTATTGGATTTGTAACTCATAAATTTCTAAAAATTGTATGGAGTGTGATGTGTGCCATTAAATGACATGTATTTCTATGGCATAAATAAGATCTACTAAGCATTAATAGATCTTTGTTCCAAGCCAATAAAATGGAGTTCCATCTCAAACTAGCAGCAGTGATGATAACCTAGCTTTTACACTCAATTGTTTGTTTGGGCGTTAAAACGTGAGGGTTGGTACGGGACAAATTCTTAGCTTCAGCCCAAATTATAAATTTCAAAATCATCCTATCATGAGAGTTTATTCTATATTGGAGCGTCGGAGAGGTAGAAGACATCCTAGCTCTGTTTTATTCTATTCGTCGCCCCATGATTTGGTCCGATCTCCCTGTATATCTCCTCCGTTGCATCTCCTCCATCGTACCCATTGTCAGTTCCTCCGCTTCTCCGCCATTTGCACCTCGTGAAATTCAGCTCTTGCCAACAATTCCCATCTTCCAATTTAGTGTCGTCCCTCCCCATGGCTTCTTCTTCCCAGCGATGCCGGCGAGGCCTCCGACACACTCACCTTCCGTGATCTTACCATCGAATTGCCACGGCAGCCATCGCCTCTTCTCCTCCCTCAGTAGCCACATCTTTGGTCTTCAATGGCAGTCGGCGGGTGTCCATGACAGTCGACAGTGGTTTATGGCGGTCAACGGTGATCGACAGTGGCAATGGTGATGTTGGACTTCAGTTTTTTCTGAAAGTTTTATGTTTTTTCTTAAGCTTCTAACTCTCTCACTCTCTCATGAAAGGGTTGAGTCTCCATTTATAGTGTTTTATGTGCAATTAATATATGAATATGAACTAGTTTGATCGGACGGTCCAGAAAACTTCATTCGATCAAACGACGTTTGTTATATATTTGAGTGTCTTAATGTTGTCAGAATTGAGCAATCATGAGCTCTCTAAATTCGTCTTGCCGAGATGCTCGATTAGACTATAAACTTGCTAGATTCGACAATTGTTTGACCTTTAAAACATGTATGGAAATCTCTTAAAGTGTGGTTTAATAACTTTATGTGAGTTTGATTTAATTTGGATTAGACTAATTTTGATATCATTGAGTTCATATCATCAAGTCAATCAGTTTAACTACAAGTTTGCTGAAATCGGAGCTCCATATGACTTTTTATCATTATTTGAACATTTCTTTCTCAAAAGAATGTCTCGAGATCCGTGTCATGCCTCGAGATTCATACAA